GCAGTCAAGTACATGTAAAAGACGGAAAATGGCTGTGTTCCAATAATCCAATTTGAATTTCTTAACTTCCATAGGTTACAAAATATTTTTCTACCTTTGTTTTTTTTCAACTATTTAAAAATGTAAAACACTGTTTTTAGATAAAAAGTGACACAACAGGCGGTGGGCTAGATTTGGCTCATGGGCCATACTTTGCTGACACCTGCATGGAAGCATACTGTTTGCATAATGATAAAATATAAACCTGTAACATTTCCACTTTCACAATGTGTTGATGTTACTCACAGTATTAAAACTATCTTCATCATATAACATGTTTAGAGGATAGCAGTCAATGAATGTACTGAGTAAAATATCTACTATAAATTACAAGAATACAACACCTACTCATAATAAAAACTGAGCAATCTAGAAATGGAGAGGAACTTCCTTAACTTGACAAATAGCAGCTACAAAAACCTGTAGCTAACATCATACTTGAGGGTGATAAACAAGATACTTTCCCACTAAGAGCAAGAATAAGGTAAGGACGTCTACCCACACCAGCCCATTCAATACTGTACATAAGATGTAGACAATGAAATAAGAAAATAAAACATATACAGATTAGGAAGGAAGAAATCATGTTGTCTTTGTTTATAGGTGACATGATTATCTACATAGAAAATACCAAAGAATTAACTAATAAGCAATTACAAGGTTATAAGATACAAGGTAAATAACCAGTCTATTGCTTTCTTACGTGCTAACAATAAATAAATAGAATTTGAAATTTAAAATATAATGCCATTTACATGAGCACCAAAGAAATAAAATACTCCATTTCTGTCTCTTTCTCTCTGTCTCTCTCATTCATGGAAAAAAATAAACTAAAAAAAAAAAAAATTAAAAAACAGGTTCAAAAACAGGACACAGCAGCTTATAAAACATGCCAGGAATGGGACCAGCAGATGGCGTAATGGTTATATCACTGGACTCCCACATAGTAGACTATGGTTCATGGTGACTTAAACAAACTCATGCCAGGTGTGTGGGTGTGCGTCCCTAAAGTCCAGAAAAGAGACTGGAGGAGAAGGGGTTGTGGAGTGGCCATCCCACCTGGGAGCTGACTTCTCACTTTCTATCTCTCTGTGCCTCTGGCAAATGCACACATCCTATAGCAAAAATCTCTCTAAAAAAACCAGATGTGTCCAAAATCCCAAAGAAATAAAGGAAAAGGGACTGTATTATGACCATACCTCATTGGAGGGGGGGTGCTGTCTTCCCCTCTCTTTCTCTCGTCTCTCTTTGGCAAATATTTGTACACTGTGGTGTGTGTGTGTGTGTATGTGTGTGTGTGTGTAAGGAGGGGACTAGATATCACTACATACTTATTAGAAAATCCAAAATGACAAACTAAACACTGATGAGGTGGTGCAGGATAGGAACTGTCACATTGCTAGTGGGAATGCAAAACAGTTGAGCCATTTTGGAAAACAACTTGGCAATTTCCTTTTTTATTTTTTGGAGAAGTTTTTGCTAGAGGGTGCATGCGCTCACCAGAAAGCGAGAGATAACCCCCCAGGAGGGATGGCCAAGACGCAATCCCTTCTCCTCTCGGGATCTTGGGCATGCACACACGCGCACCCAGCGTGAGTTTAAGCCACCAGGTCCGGGACTCAAACTGCGGTCAACAACATGGGAGTCCAGAGATGCACACAAATGTTTAAAGCAGCTTTAAGCTTAATTGCCAAAATGTGGACGTAACCAAGATAACTTTTAATAGCTGAACAAGTAAAAACGCTGGTATATCCATATGATAAAATACTATTCAAAGATAAAAAGAAGTGAACTGCCAAGTCATGAGAAGAAACAAAGGCAATAAAAGTATATTGGTGCTGGGGAACCAGCAGTTAGCGTAATGGCTATGTCGCTGGACTCCCACGTAGTCGACCGCGGTTCGT